TGCAAACGAGGATAGATGTAGATGTCTATGGATTACAGCAACTATTTACCATCAGGTGGACTGTGTGCTCGCTTGTCACCCCTATCCTATAAAAAAATGGCAGTTGGACTCCTTTTGTGCCCAGAAGTCGTCAGGGTATGTACCACCGTCTCACGTATTTCTGTCACCAAATAACAGTATTACACTGTTGGGTGCTTTTCTGAAAGTTATGGAGAGCCAGCACAATTACAGGCTGTAAGGTATTCCATGTTACGAGTTTCTAAAGGTGACAATGCATAGCCTGTAGACTTCTTTGATTGAAGCTGTCTATGCATTAGCCCACTTACCATCACGTGAACAGAAAGTACGTTTCTCACTTCAGTTTTATTTTATATAAAATAACTAGCTCGCACGGCAGACGTTGTTCTGTCCTTTCCAACGACCCTTCCTATAAAAATCCTTAAATTCGCAATAAAATTTTTGAGGGTGATTTATTGGGATAAATACTATCCTATTTCTCAAGTTGGAGCAAAATGCACACAGTGTCCAAAATTTCATTGAAATCAGTTCAGTAGTTTAGGAGTCCATCGCGGACAAACAACGTGACACGTAATTTTTATATATATAAAGATAAAAACATAGTATTTATAAAAAAATAAAAAGGAGCCTTTTTAGTGTTGTTTTTTTAATTTTTTATTAGTACAATTATATTATATTAATGATATCTTATTATTTATTTGACATCTATTAGTTCTCAATGCAATGGTGAAAACTCATTTACATTCTCTTTTGTTTAAAGCTGCTTGCAGTATCCATATTCAGTGGTAGCCTTACAATCAGGTGGAATGTTAGCCATTGGAATAGGTGGAATAGGCGGAATAAGGTGATCGCCACCATGCTGGTTCTATGAAAATTCATTTAAAATAGTATAAACAAAATTATTGTTAAGTGAAATTATGTTTTTAAAAAAAAGTCCCGCTGGCTTTCTTGCTGGTTCTTCCCAGGACAGAGGTATTTTCCGAACCAGTGGTAAATAAAATAATGACTTTCAATAAGTATTATGTAATAATCCATATTGAATAAAAATCATTCCATTCTATTCTATTCTATTCTATTTTGTCACTCCAATATTATTAAAAAAATATCCTTATAAATAATTCCTTATTAATATCCTTCTTACATATTACCATTTATTTATGGCTTCTCTTACAATAAAATATTCAATACTGATAATATGCAATTCTTATGTCATTTTTAACTTTTACCACTGGTTCGGAAAAAAACCTCTGTCCTGGGAAAAACCAGCAAGAAACCCAGCGCGAAGCATTTTTTAACAGCATAACTTACAATATAATATTTATACAATTAAAAAATAATTCTGCTAATGTCATCGTCAGTCATGAGAGTGATGTTAATATTGATAATTACCCTTCGCTATCTACATTCATGATTTTTCTCAGTGGTATAGTAGTGGTCACAGCCAAAACTCATAACCGGTCAAAACCACTTTTAACTGCAAAAATCGGGCAAAAGTAGTTTTGACTTTTACTCAAAATCAAAAACAGGTACCTTTACTCTAAAACAGTTTTGACTGATTTTTGTAGTCAAAAGTGGTTTTAACCAACGTTCTTAGTCAAAAGCGGTGTTGTCTGATTTAAACTTCAGACTATCGGTCAAAATTCGGCATTATCAGTAACAGTAGGTTAAGGTGCGGCTATTGGGCCACCCTAAAGCCACGTACATCATAATGATATAAAATATAATATTGAAGAAATTAAACCTTTTAATTTCAGAAATTCAAAAAGTATAAGTCAAAAGAAGTTTTAACTAACATTGTTGGTCAAAACCACTTTTAACCGATGTAATATGGTCAGAGTCACTATTACCCAATAGTTTTGCAATCAAAAGTGAATTTGACCAACGGCCTTAATCAAAACTACTTTTGACTGCAAAAATCAGTTAAAAGGGGCACTGACAAACCTCCTTAGCCAAAACTACTTTTGCCTGATTTTTAGTCTAAAGTGGTTTTGACCGGTTATGAGTTTTGACTGTAACATATGCAGTGTGAATTTGGAACGTTTAGTTTGGATAAAAATAAGTTAAATGATTCATAAAATTATAAATGGTAATTTTCTTAAATTGCAACTCTTTAAGCGACATACGAGTATCACACGATGAGTTGAATAAAGCCCTCAATAAATCTTGCGAAACAAAATTAGTCGAAAATTTTGATTTAAAATATTCATTTTCATCATAGAAAAAACGCGTTGGTTAAAAATAAAACGGCAAATATTTATTTTCCATACTTTCATTTTTAAATCCATACAGTCATAAGTTTTAAAGTTATATAGTTATATAAGTTTAACATCTTCTCGTGTTAGAACGGATGGTATATATAAAACCCAATAGATAAATTGTACCACAATGAATCATATTAAATCATCACTAATTTAACATTAGTCACTACTCTGGACCGAGGCCAAGTAAAGGGATCCACTATTATCTTCTACGTGTCGCAATTATTCCGAGTATGATCTCACAGCGTCAAAACATCTGCTAAACTTTGCTGACCTTTAACTGTTAGAATTTTATAAAGTATGAATCACCTTGATAAATGTGACTGAGTGAGTAAAATTACGCAAACCTATTATCAATTAATATAATGTCAATAAACGTAGGAACTTTTTTATAGTTTTATATTGAAGCAATAACTAATGAACCCAGTGGCAAGTGAACTAAGATAACCGACCATAATATTTTCTGGCTATAAAGTTGAAATGTTCGCACGCAACTGTAAAGTTGGAATAAACATGAAATCCTCGCTTTGAACATGTTGTAAATTAAAAAATTTTGTACAACCGACTTCAATATAAATAAAATGAGAACATCATCATTGTAGTCGAAGTCAATTAAATACGTATTATTAAGGATAACTCAAAAGATACTGGTCAGATCTTGATCAAATTTATATTGAACCACATAAAAAGCACCAGCTTTCAAATAAAAAAGAACCATCAAAATAGGTCCACCTAGGAAAAATTTCTGAGGTGCATCCATAGGCGGAATCCGAGCACTACCCTCCGCTAGTAAACTAGTGTAGGGTTCGCTATGTCGCCATTATTACTGTTTAAAATTCGGCAAATGCTTCTAACTTCGAAAAACCTTTATCGAGCTGTGGAATTTCAAATTGTCAAGGTCGAAGCCTATATCATTTTCGTCTTTATGCCCATATTGCGAAACAAAGAAAACTCATTTCATATTAAATACTACTAATAGTCATTATATTATATTTTACAGCTTGTTTAAAACTTCACTGCATAACATAGGCCTCCCCGATAGATTGCTTCATAGGGGGTACATATGCCAAGGTTGGCATGCTTGGCATGCGGTCTGGCAACTGCAGAAGACGTTGTTGCCCATCTTCTGGCTTGTATCCATCTGTCTCCTTTTACAATATCCACGAGATGATATAGGGTGGTGGATACCTATTCTTACACTGCTACTACACCGTAAAGCTATTATTATATACTAGCAATCCGCCCCGCCTTTGCCTTTTTTAAAAAAATACAGCGGGATCCTCCTCTTTAATGCCTCCTGGCATTGTTCTCTATCTAATCGTAAAGTTTAAAGGTAAGATTAGTAAAGTTTTCGTAAAATTGAAGTGTCTGTCTGTAATATTCAAAGTTTATTTGCATGGTATAAGACATAAATAACAATTTTTTAAATTATTGTCTCTGTCCGGGCTTATCTATGGAATGGCTGTGTGTCTATTGTATAAAACTTTACAAACAGACAGAAAGCAATACCAGGAGAGATCTAGGCTATATTTTATAGAAAAACCTTATTTTGGCAGGCAGAGTAAGGGCGCGTCGCTAATTATTAAATAAAACAAAAGGAATAGAATATGAAAATATATCTATTTATTCAATCAATTAAGTAAATTAAATTGGACGGAATATACAAGCACTTATAACTAAAACTACAACATAAATATTTAACAAAGCTTAATTTCTAAAAATAACCTCTATTTTCTTAATCACAAACAAAAAAAATACTGTACAGTTACGAGTATGTAAACGGCCCTTCATTTATATTCGCAATCAGCTGTTTTTTGTTACATCAAGCTCTTATAAATAAACATTAAACGATATATCAAAAGCTATAAGCTCTTCGCACAACTTATTTTCAGTGAAGTGAAAATATAATAATTAATTTAATTTCGTTGTCTAGTTTAAAATTGCGTTTTTAGGTTCATCACGACTCATGTTTTTTGATAGTAAACTTCAAAAAGAATCATTTGTAGGGATTCGAAAAAGCTGAACTTAGTTAAGCCAAACAAAAAACTGACGGTTTTTAGTAAAATTTAGATTTAGCATTATTAGCTTTCATTGAGGAGTTACCATATTTTTTATGAAGAAGGTTCTTGAGTTCAAAAAAAGCCATGTCACCACAATCAGATATAACTGATTAGATATATTAATTGTTGTTTTTATTATTTGCTCGAGAGAGCAGGCAAAGGAACTATGCCATACAGCCTTGTATTTTGTATAATTATCCTTCATAGTTCACTGCTTCACAATATGTTGATGCGTCACATTGTGCAGCCCTTGGGAGATTTTGACGGCAACTTGAGCCAGCAGGCAGCTGACAGTTGGCGATGGTATCTAAAGGCGCCTATGCAAACAAACAGCTTATCTTGAGAATCCATCACCATCAGAGCACTTGTTTCACCGTTTCCACTAATAGTTCACATGTGTAGACAGTTAATACATAAAATCGCACCACTTTTACATATCAAAATCCACTTCAAACTATTATTTAAACTATAATACAGGAGCAGCAAACCGCCGCCGATCAAGTTCCCGCCAAAACTCCTTAGATATATTAATATTTAAATTTGAAATACAGAATATATTCGCTTGAGATAATTTTAAAGTAATATTGTGAATTATTATTAATTAAATGCAGTGCATTTTGAACCGCTTTACAAACATATGATAACGAGATTACAGTAGCTAAAATCAACAAATCAAGTCAGCTCTCTGCCTCAGTAACTCTAATCTTATTTCATGTTCCCTTGCTGCCAGTCTTAAGGCAGCGATACTAGAACTCCTTACATCATCTACTGCCGCCAGCGGAGGCAATGTTTCGCATCCTGGCGATATTGGGGGTGAAATGGACGGCGCAGGAGAACGCGCTACATCGGGTGATAATCGGGAATGTTCGGGTGATAGCCGCGGTGGTTCCGGTGCGGTTAAGTTGGCGAACAGCGAGTGAAAGTGAGCGGGAGATGTAGCGTATAGCGGCGCGCCAAATAACGGAGGACGCGACAACGGAGGCAAGTACTGCGCTCCAAATAAAGGACTACTTGCGTACCTGTTAAATAAAGAAAAAATTATTACAGTCATGTACTCATTACATTTTTTGCTGTTGCGATGTCTTTTATAATTTGAAGATAGAATTTAAAAGTTAAAAGTTAAAGTTACAGCCTATATACGTCCCACTGCTGGCCACATGCCTCCTCTCATTTCTGAGAGGGTTTTAGGGCAACGAAATATCCGCAGCGCCGCCCCAATGCGTGTTGGCGAACTTCACATGTCTTCGAAATATTTTTTTTCTTATTACTCAGACATGCAGGTTTCCTCACGATGTTTTCCTTCACCGCTGAGCATGTGGTAAATCAGCACTTAAAATTGCAATTAACAATTTCATTGCTTCCGGCGGGGATCAAATCCGGGTTGCTCGCGTACTGTGAAACTTATAGCGAGCGCCAACCATCTGAGCTACCACGTTTACTCTTGCATATTTCTACTATAAGCAGAATAAAAGTCATTTTGATAAAAAGAAGTACAGATTCAGTTACAAAGTATAAGGCATTCCAGTCCTTTGGGTTAATAAATCACCTGTAGCTTTCTTTATTTATGGTTTGAAGTAGACTGCATGTGTCCATGAGTCTATTAAGAGACTGTAAACTCACATGTCACTATATCAAGTATTATTTTTTAAGAAATTAAGACGAATTCAACTTACGCGTGGATATCCATAAACTTTTGTTTAGGTTACAGTAGGTTACGAAGGAACAGACAATTACATATACATAGTAAAATAGCTCTTCTTATGGAGCATTTGGATGAAAACGAAATCTTACCTAAAGGAAGCCAAAGCATTATCAAATGGTTTTCTCAATCCAAAGCCTAGTTGCGAAAGTGGATGAGGTGGAGGGGGCAATGTGGCGGATGTCGGCAAAGGCTGCGCCCCGCTCAAGTAACCGCTGTACGGATGCGCATGTGGCCCAACCTTTTCTTGCTTCCTCCATTTCGCGCGACGGTTTTGAAACCATACCTATGTAAAACAAAACGATTTTTAAATATATTTATAAGGGTAACAATCAAGCACACAGTCTACCTGATAATAAGGGAATTTTATGGTTCATATACACTTACATCTATTCTCGATTAATTAACAAAATGAGGATATCTAATCACCCGTAAGATAAAATGTCTTATTACCATCATGACGTAGGTATATCATACGAAATATAATAGAATAATGCCGCTAGCTACTCGTACACTGTTCTATTTTGCGCTGTTATTTTATGGGAGCCTGGTAAAATGACTTACAGCTGCAGCGTGAGATCTGTAGCATATTTAACACGTCATTCCTATTCTATTCTGACATACAATAAAGCTTCCCCGTTCCCGAACGTTGGGTAGCACATAATTAAGAATTTAAATAAATTCTAATACCGTAACTATATAAGAATATAATACTTTATTATAACTATATAAGTATATAATAACTATATAAGTATATAATACTTAATTCTGTCATTGTTTTTTGTGTAGGTAAATGTTCTCAAAACTCAAAAGAAATCTAATACGGTCTTATGACAACATGTGGTTTAATGATATAAAACAAAACTTTTGGAATAAGTCACTATTTTTCTACCGACTTCAAAAAGGAGGAAGTTCTTAATTTGACCGTATTTTTTTGTGTGTTACCTCAGAACTTTTTCCTAGGTGGACCCATTTTGATGGCTTTTTTATTTGAAAGCTGGTGCTTTTCATGTAGTTCCATATAAATTTGATCAAGGTCTGACCAATAGTTTTTGAGTAATTCTTAATAATTTATATTGAAGTTGGTTGTACAAATTTTTTAGTTTTAAATTATTTATCATTTTATTTCCCTACCGAGCTTATCTACCTTATTATCTGCATCGAGTGGGAGCGATAAACCGTAATTACTAGTTGACAAAACTGCATTGATAACTGTAATACCATACGTATCGCTACTTAGTCCTCAACACCAGCCTGTGTATGTAACAGTATTTTTAAACGAATTCAAAAAGGAGCAGGTACTCAATTCGACTGTATGTTTTTTTTATCTCTGTTACCTCATAACATTTTTCTAGATGAACTAATTTTGATGATTCTTTTTTTTTTTCGAAAGCTCGTGCTTCTCATGTGCTCCCATATAAATGTGATCAATAATAATTTATATTGAAGTTTTAATGTTTTAAAACAATGGTTCATAGTTTGTCTTACGTTGTAACCTCGTAACAAAAGGCACTTTACTTTGCCATTATATACCTCATACTCTTGTTACTTTAAATACAACCGCTCATGTTATTACTAATTATTTGCGATTTATTTTACAAATTAATTCTGTGGAGTATATTTTATGATTTCGTGTCTCTTAACACTAACTAATGGCTAATAAAATTACATAAACTGTGTGCTAATTACATTGTTATAATATAAGTGTCAAGTTGTAAATAAACACAATGTTATATTATAATTTATGCAGCCGGTAATTTATTATAATGTACCAACTACAATGTTGAAAGTTTCTTGTAACATTTTGCTTAAATAAAATATTGTATTAGTTTCTACTTCGTGTTAATAAGGAAATTGTCTTTTTATCTTTTATGAAATTTAATCTAATCTAACAATTTTAAAAACCAAACAATATATTATAATGAAATGAAATATATTTATTTTTTCGAAAGTCAAATATCATTTTTATAAATCTACTAAATCTACTTAACGTATCCTCGTGTGTTAGAACTGTATAAGCGAATCCATCACGCCATTTCGTGCCGTGGGTTCCGTGAGTGCCGTAAGATGCGATTGTATGAATTGCTAAAAAAATCTTATAACATTTAACAGATGGCAATAAAATCATTCCGTTTACCTAGACCAGTGACGGAGAGCAAGCACAAACTGAAAGGCGGAGACGTCTGCTACTGGAATTACTAATGATCCTGCCAAGCATGAGTGTGAAAATGCCCATGGTCACCAGTGGAGTAAACTATTACGCGTTGATGAAGAATAAGATCAAGATGTTATCTTAAAATAAACTGAAATTTAATTTGTAACATTGTACTACTCGTACATATGTAAAACCATAAGGTAGTTAGATGTTACATAATGTTACCTATTCGATTACGGTGAATCTACAGTGAAACATTGATTTTCGTATGTTGCAAGTATTCTCACCACTTCACGTGTAATCACGATTTAAAAAAAAATTACACCTCGGTGGCGCAGTCACTGTAGCGCTGCGGTAATCCACACGGGACAATTTTGTAGATTCAACAAACAATTGTTGGTTTTGTGCCGGTGCGAAAACAATTTGACTAATTATCTCCTACTTTATTACTACTCCTGTTGTTATTTTTAATAGAATATACTTTACTCGGTGTACTACAGGGATAAATCCCTAGAGGTACCACGACTCTTAGTAAGGTACTAAAACAAAATATACCATTACAATCTTGAAGTCCCAGTCTTGAAATTTAAAGTAAACGATTACAAATAATGGCAAAACATCAAGTAGCCCTATTAATAATGTAATAAGCAATACGAACGTGGAGTAGATTATACAAACGTAAATAGTCTCGTGTCAATAAATATCGTAGTTAAAGACAGTTAAACGATCGTGAAATGTTATTCGGTATCGAAGCAGTACTTTTATACTTTGGTTAAGGTGTGGTGTAAAGAAGCACAAACCTTATGCAGAGTAAATAAGCTAAAACTGTGTGTGTTGCAACACATAGCTCAAAATAGTAATAGTTCGTTAGGAAATGCATTGTGGAGACACTTATAATATAAAGAACGGATAAATATTTAGTTTAGCAGCTTAAATCGTTTAGTAGTGTAAATATTACTTACGAAACATAAATATCAGCTATTTTAGTCTATATCTGAATATAACTGAATTAATCATTCATTCAAAAGTATGTTGTATAATTGGCTTAAAGAATATGACTACGATCAATGCGAAAACTTAATAGCTCCATACGAATAACTTTATGTGCAGTGCAACAATCAAACTACTCACTCACTAACACACACACACACACACACACACACACACACACACACACACACACACACACACACACACACACACACACACACACACACACACACACACACACATACACGCGCGCGCGCGCGTATATATTAAACTGAGTATTAAGTAATATATCAACATTTCCTAATGTATTATCGACACAAAGTGTTACTGAATAGGAAGGAACTGACTCCTGAAATACAGGGTATCCTAGTTTAGGAGTCAGGGCTCAATGATGTTGTGTGAAATAGAAGTGTCAAATAAAGATATTTATTATTATTATTATTATTATAACGTTTTCGCAGTACATATATAAAAGCTGCTAAGCATTCCTTCCAAAATTTGCCTAGTTGATGGGAGATCGGATGGTCATTATAGTGCTAGCACCATCATACTAATAATGCTGCACATAATAACTTACATTTTATTATTGTTATACTATTATGTTAAATATATTCAGATTTCTAATTACTATCAATTGTAGACCAGTCAGAACCAGCTAGAACCTATTTTTATAAGTCTACAGAGCGGGCGTGGCTAAGTGTGGTTTATATTTGGAGAAAAAGGTGACATATTTATTATTATATTACCTTTACATCTTTTAATAGTATAAAAAAGTCGCCTCTAATAAGATTAATGTTATTTTTTACTACCTATTATATGTTATTTACAACGATTTTTCTAGAAATTACTACATTCATAATTAAAACGTTTATCAATTAATTTACGAAGTAGGAAGAACTAAGATCTTCTTTATTACCTGACATCCGACTAATTGGTAATACCACGGAATAAATAATAGTACAAGAAGTAATACGCAAAAGTTATACCTATAATATAATTCTTACGAAGTTACGTTGTATCTTTCACGTTGGAGAGTGACTGAAGCCATATGTACTCATTAATAAGCTTATTAACTCCTTTTGTATGCATAAATTACGGCGTGGTCGTACTGCCCCTACCTTTTGATTGCATATAACACCATTATAAGCATTCATACATATATAAGCTATAGTTTGTAGAGAAGCGAAGGACAGTTCTATTAACCTTAGTCCTCCCAGGCCAGGCATTAACGTGTTTACTGCCCTATACATTATCAGGTTCTTAGACAATGATTGGTCTATATAAAAATACGATATTATAGAATTTATTAAGGGCATTAAAACCATGTCTAGCTTATCGACGGACTCAATTTGTTTAAAACCATAAAATTCTTGAACACTGTTTTTATGAGTTACCAATGCTTACATACATATGGAACGTAAATAATGGAAACATTACGTTCATTGTAATTACTGTGATTTAGTAATAAGCTGTTAATTGAATTCAGTTCGACGTTTCGCGATGGGAAAGGAATCTTGTTCGATGCGTCTGTTACCATATAGAAGTGAAAGAATAGGATTTTTGAGTTTAAAAAAATTCAGAAATATTACACTGAAAATTACCATTTTAATAAGCAGTTTTAATTCGGTAGAGGAAAGGTACCAATTATGGAATACGTCCCTAATATGGAATACCGTAATATTTCTAAAACTAAGTACCACGAATATTCCAAACTTGTGCCATGTTACTCCTCCCGCTACCCACATTCAACGGCCAGGGTGCGTGCGGCGTTCAGCGGCAATACATGCAAATGAGAGTGCGCGACACTGTTGATGCAACATCAATCGGATATTTAGGTAAGTTTTACGTATATATTCTCTTATTGTTCCTACATGAATATCTCAAAATAAGTTGATAAGTATCTGAACAAAGTATGTAGTTTTTAAATGGTATTGTTATTTTACGAATTTTTAAAAATATTAAAAAGTTACTTTTATTTTCCTCCCGCCACAATATTGTTCGTAATATGGAATACCGTTGAGGTCCTAATATGGAATAGTATTATATATGAGAACCTCAACGAAAGAAAGTTTTAATATGGTGTCTGATTACTAATTCTCTCTTTTACAGATATAATTGTGATCAAAATGACTCCACCAGTA